TATATATATATATATATATCACCATAGCAAAAAAAGTCACAGTTACATCACAACAATCATGGTTACGTCAATCATGGTGTTGTGCGACAACTGCAAATATCTTTGTAACATGTGTTATTTTGTTATGACAATAGTGATATTACATTTTCTTCCTGACTATAATTATGACTTTATTTTACAGGAATATGACCCCCTTTGCTATGGGGGTATATATATTCAAATAATAATTAATTATGTCAGGTTTATATTATTATCACTTCAGGATGCAAATATGCATATCATCTGTTGAAAACACACAACTTTAAAAAGATATGGATCCATGTATTAAATTTGCAAATACATTAAGTTTTCCGAAGTTAAGCTACACTTTTATCTTTTCCTAATTGTCATTGTCACAGGCAGAGTATCGCTATCTTTTAGAATCCAATAAGTTTGCGTGATATGTAGATAAATGTTGTTTAAGTCGATCCCGTCTGTAGAACTTCTTTGTGCAAAAATGACAACTGATTTTTGCTTCCTTGTTACCGCACTGCAATTGATGACGACGTAAACTGCTTATCCATGTATATTCGTTGCCACATACGTTGCACGAATACATCAGTCGTTGATTGTTTGAGTTCGTTGAGAAAATCATGGAGTCAGTAAAGCTTCTCATTTTTAAAAAATCCGTATCTTTGAACTCATTGGAAGATATACTCCATACGCTGCACACCTTCGGTCCTGCACATAAAATTGATATAAGTGACAAAATTGTAAATCGACAGGTTATATTCATTTCGCGAAATTGCTGATTATATATACGATGTTTTCTAATAAAAGAGAAAAAATGTAGACTTGAATTTAGATAAAGAAAAATTTTGTACAGGCTATATGTTTATTATATGTATAGTAAATGGATTAAATTATATTGGAATTAATTTTAATGAATTTGTTCACTGAGGACCATCAACTGAAAAGGATCTCAATCAAAATCGAAATCAATGTCAAAGAGCCTGTTGCATGCACAGAAACTTGAATTAGAGAAAATTCATTGGATGTATATAAAAATGAGATTATCACCTTATTTATACATACAACCATGTCTTAGGCTTGTATTGGCTTTAATTTAAATTTAAAGTTCGTCTGTAAACGGAAATAATCTGACCACTCAATTAATTTAATTCGTTTATTGCGAAGTTTAGGATTCCATAAAAAAGATTGAATAAAATATTTTTTATTTAATGAAATATTTTTTATTTGAAATTTTAGGAATTGTGTGCATTAGGAGGTAACAAATCATGTACAAGTTTGAAATAAAAAAATATTTTATAGAACGATTCTATAAATTCAAATACTGATCTATATATACATAAGCTTAAATGCTAGAGCTATTAACTGCAAAATTTATTAGTATAGGCATTGCAACAGTTGCCTATCTTATTATTAAAAAATAGATTCATTTAAAGCCTCTTTTTAAACATTAATCATATGAGTTTTACGAAGTTTGCCAATACCTTTGGGGTTTCGCTGAAAAATATTGCAGTATTTTTGCACAGTATTTTTACGCAAAAACTTGTCTTCAAATTAAATTAAAATATATACACACGAATGATTAAAAAATGATATAGTTCTTGCAAAATGTCTCTCGCGTTACAATTTAATGCTATGCATGCATTTCGCATGCGACTGCCAGCGATGTTTATGCTTGAACTTCCTGCCGCAGACGGGACACTTGAAGGCCGGCTCTTTGCCACATTCCACCCGTATATGATTCTTTAGGGAGCCGCGCCACAGGTAACGCTTACCACACTGGAAGCAGATCCACGTCTTCCGCAAATAGGCTGGAAAAGAAGAAAAATGTCGTAGTATATAGTACCAAAAATCAAACTCTGTCTTTTGTGCTATCAAATCACCCTTCCCTCCCCCTTGTCAAACGTTGCGTTTATTTTGAACGATATTAGCATGTCCACGTTAAGTAATCGTAATTACGTTTATCATAATTCGAGTCTTGTATGAATGAAAGTGTATTAAAACAAGAAAGTATATGTTCATGGATGTTCATTCTTTTAATTGACTGTTCACTTAAAATTCTTGTTGTTGTAATTTAATCCGTCTAGCAATCCGCGATTTCAAATCTTATATTAAAATGCTGCAAGGAAAAGAATATCTTGTTAATATTTTTTTCACGTGCAAACTAATTTTGCACGTTTCTAACTTTCCGTGTAAATGGAAACGGAGGATGTACATACAGTTATACATATACTGTCTGAAACAATAACCTATTTTCATTGAATTATTGAGAAAATAGAAAGAGTTAGTTATTAGGTTTCATTTATTTCATATAATAATACGATATGCATTGGCAATATTTTTTAAGAATTCGCGATATGAGCGTTATGGGATTTAGTAGAAGATAATTTTTGCTAGCGAAATAGAACTAAATTTTTATTAATATTAACAATTTTGCTTCATGTGTGCAGACTATGCACATGTCGTAGTACATGTTCACAATGCAATACAAATAACGTTTATAATGCCGATATATAAAGAGCACTCTTGAATCAATAATTGCTGTTGCAATTAAATTGTCATGGTCGTAAAGCGTGTACATTCGACGTAAGATGTGACTGCAGTCTGTGTTTGTACTTGAATCTCCTGCCGCAAAGAACGCAGCTGAATTTAGGCTCTTTGCCACATAATCGTAGATGAGTATACATTGAAGATTTGTGAGCGTAGATCTTGCCGCAAAGCCTGCATGGGAACGCTACGGTCATGGCTCGATCACCTGAAAGATAGATTATAAATGGTGCGTGTGTGCATTCTAAAGTGTTCTACGATTAATCTTCGCGTCGATTTCTCTCATACATTCCGCGACGAAAAAATAATACATAAATTCGACAATTAGAATTTGCGATCTAAAAGTCTTTCTAACATCATTTAATTATTTGATTAATCTAGAATCCACGCAAATTGTATCGTAATTAATAGAAGAGTTAGTACACCTTATAATCTCAATGCTATCAAGTTTTGTGGTTAATAAAAATCTTACAATAAAAAAACATTTTTTATATACAAAACAAATATAACACATGAAACTTACGTAAAAATATTTTTATTTTCATCAGTATTATTATAATAGAAAACGTATATTATCATAATTGTCATAATAATTCCATAATAATCCATTATTGAAAAATAATTTTAATATAGTAAATATTTCTATTCTCTTTTGTATACTTTACAATGACATTTAATTCTACTAATTTCTACTATCACAAGAGAAACGCATTTTAAAATATTATGACAGAACAAAAAGTAACAATAAAAAAAATAATATATCATTACAATACTGTGTATATAATTAAAAATTTTTGTAATTAATCTTTTTACTTTGTAGAATTTCTGTTATAAATTTTAGAAAAGATGTGAAAATTTACAGAAATGATAAAATCCTTATATTTCTTGATGTTTCTTCAGTTAATATATAATGTTCAAGATAAAATTTTTAATGTTTATAATGTTTATAATGTTAATGATAAAATTTTTAATGTTTATAATGTTCAAGATAAAAAAAATTTATAAACAATTTATTGAAGATTTGATATTGTTTAATAATAATGAATTTTGAACATCGTATGTTTCGTTTTACATACACAAATTTGATTGGGATAATCATACTGTTACGTACGATTAACCCTTTCAGTATTAACTCTTGTGAGTAGTACATAATATATACGCATTTAGAGCACTTTCTCATTTCAATTTCCTAATTTATCTGAAAAATAATTAATATTTATAAAGAAAAAATATCAAGAACTTGAGGAAAACGCAAATTCTTGCACCCAGCTACATATTGGGAAACAACTCCGCAGTGCACAGCATCATGCCGTTCTGTATTCAAAGAATTAAAAACATTATCTAAAAACTTTACTTAAAAATTGTTATTGTCAATAAACTAAAAAAACTTACAGAATTGTTTTATTTAAAATGGATTTATAAAAATATTATAAAATAAAGGAGTTAAGAAATTCTTCTCCCTCTTTTTCTGTTCCTTTCTTGATTTTAGTGTTTTAATTTATTATTATAATATTGTAAAAAGGGATAAATAAATGAATACGGACTTGAGTTCATTTCTTTATTAGAAAACTTTTATCATTATCCATTATGTATCCAGAAACGATCATAAAATTTTTACAAATTCCAAATAATAAATTTATAAAAAATTATGAAAGAAATGGAAAAAAGTGGGTTCTAGTAATTTCAATTAATAGAGTTCGACCGAAACAATTTTTAAATTTCAGTCGAAATCGAAACTTTTATAAGAATTTTAGAAAGACCATATGTTGCACGCACATATATATCGAAGTTTGTATAAAAAAATTGTTTTTTGTCAAATTTAGCTGACTAAGATCAATATAAATTGTTATAATATTCCAAGTTATATCACTTTTAATAAATTATTGATGGATTTATTATAATTTTCTAAAATACATAATCGTTATAATTAAGAAAAGGTGATATTTTTAAGGGTTGTGAAACGAAAATGATAAAAATGATAAAAATTTAATCATATTTCGAAGAAATATATCGAAGAAACATCTTTTTATCGATATTTTGAAGTAAAGGAACGGATATTATCTCAATGATAATAAAATTTCAAAAAGTAAGATAATTCTTTTGAGAGAATCCCATTTGCTTTCAAATCGTTTGCTCACATCATTTTTGCCAACAACAACAATATTCATTTGCGTACTTAAAGTTATTATGCCTACAGCTCACGATTGTCTGCATACACTTTTGTGCACAAGTACAAATTTCAGAAACGAAGTTACATTTGCCTACATGTATTATTGCCTATTGCTCGATTGCCTACAGTTATTGTCCACAGTTTGATTGTCTATATACATTATTGCTTACAGTTCGATTAATTACCTACATGTATTATTACCTACATGTACTTTTCTCTACTTTAAAAATACGAATTTTTTGTTTTAAAAAACAAATTCTCTTATATTTGTGCGCAAAATTGTGTTTGTGGGCAATCAATCTGTAGGCAATAATACATGTATACATGTAGGCAAATGTGATTTCGTTTCTGAAATTTTTACTTTGTACGTAAAAATGCAATCGAGCTGTAGGCAATAATTTTTGTGCGCAAACGAACTGTCGGCAAAAGTGACGTAGACAAACGATGCTGTAGACAATTAATTTGTAGGTAAAAGAAGCCATCTCATTTTTTTAGCATTTATGCCTAAGCAAAAAATATTATATTAATATTATATTATAACTATCAGTTTCGACTGTGTGCGCGCGCGCAAATCGCCGGAACTCGCTTTCATTTCAAAATTTAATCAAAACTTCGACTGAATTGACCATAATTGAAATTAAAATCAAATTAGTAGCGATTTTAAGAATAGAATCTTAAGAAAATTTTGAATACACAACGTTTTAAGATAGAAGACGATCGTTCCTGAATTAAATTTCATCCTTTAACAAACATCTACATATTTTTATATAAAAAAAGATTAACTACATGCACGTTATCTTTTTTTCTAAAAAATATAACAAAAAATCAATTAGCTTTAATTTATTATTACTGATTATATTTGTGAATTGAGTTGTGGTGTTTCATGAGGTGGTGCTTATGTTTAAACTTTCTGCCGCAGATATTGCAGGCAAAGCGTGGCTCGATACCGCACTCCATTCGTTTATGCAGACTCAAAGATTCTCTCCATTTGTATATCTTGCCACACCTGTTGCACGGATAGGCTAAGCCCGACGAGTACCTTTGTGAATCTGAAACATATGTGCAACAATTGGCTTTCATTCATGTCGGACTGAATGATTTTAACGTTGATAGCGTGCATGCTAGAAAACTTTATTCAAAAAATCAGCATTGACAAGGTTTTAATTTTAATCCGTCACTCACAAGATATCAAGTTTGATTTTATATCGATATATAAAATATTATATTGTACATGCTTTTTTATTCTTATAAAATATTCTTATAAAATACTAAATTCTTGGTTGTACTATAGATATGTACCGATATAATTGAAATTTTCATAATATCGATATTATTCATCATGGATATGAATTGGTCAGAAATAACAT